ACACACACACACACACACACACATTCATACACATACGCCCATGCGCGTGCATACACGCGCATTTTATACTAAACTGTTTTGGGCCCTCCTTCAAAATACGTTATGTAACTCGAACATACATGAACGAGAACATGGAAAAACAACACAAGGCTTGCACAAGAAAAAACTTCCATCCCCGGACTGTGAAGACGCAGTAACAATCGGTGGATTTATGGCGTTAATTCCGAGGACTTTTCCTTCACCCGATCCAAAAGAAGTATAAAATAGAATCGTGTTCCTACTCCACTGACATATGAACGAAAATTTCGGAGGAATTTTTCTGCAGTGTATTGGGTATTATTCAGCAGCCTGAACTCCAAAATTAAGAACCGATTATAATAGACATCCCTAAAAGCAAGGAGTCTAAAAGTACATTGTATCTTTTTTCTTCGGGTCAATTTGACACCCAAACTGATAAACATTTCACCAAGTGATGAATGTTGTAACATCAGCAAAAAAAAACCCACTTAGAAAAAAAACAAAAAACAACCCAACATCAGACGCAGATCTTAAAAGATACAATATTGAGCTACTTCATGTCATTGATAAGACCACCTGTACAACGTGCCCTAGACCTCTACACGTCCATGTCATCCAGCTGTGAACGGAGCCGACAGACCTTCTGAGACTTCAGATACAAGAAAAAAATGGCAGCGGCTTTTAAGATAAAGCCAAAAACTCCTCTTAGAAAGTACATGCGGTATAAATCTGTTAGACTGACGGTCAAACACACCGGTAGACAGTCAGACTGACACGCAGACACAGAAGCTGAGGATATTGTTATCATAATTTCCTCTTCCATTCATCGCAATATTTTCTAATATAAAAAGTAACGAAGTAGTGTAAGAATCACGGCTTATAATGCAGCGACATTTCGCCATGAACATTTTCAGAAAAAGGAGGAAGAGGAGGAGGAGGAAGAAGAAGAAGAAGAAGAAGGAGCTCACTACATTAAAGCACCCACATGACAACAGGTAAAAAGAAATACCCTTTACAAGCAACCAAGTAATACTTATTTCTCTGAACTCCATTTCACAATTCCGTAAGATCATGTTCGTTGTTTTAAGGGCGGCGGCTCGAAGCAAGTAAATCTACACGGGAACATGGTCAGCTGTGAACGAATTCTTTATGTTAACGGTTTCTGAGAAACATATTTCCTAGGGAAAATAAAATCCACCGAAACAAAGATAAACGCAAGCACACACACAAACACACACACACACATACACACACATACACACACACACACACACACACACACACACACACACACACACAATACGAGCAAAAGTACAATGTACGGTTGCACGTGCATCCGTGGACAGAGAAAAACGACCGCACGTCCGCATGAGTAGCCTATCCTAGGCCTAGGCCTGCGTGATATGGACATAAGTGGATAACGCGAACTTTTCTTTCCCTGGGGCGTAGTTGTGCCAGCTTTGCCTTGGCGTTGCGAAACAACAAAGGCGGATATAACTAAAATTAATAAACACAGTGGTCAGTGGCCACGATCAAGACCAGTCCATATTGTTTTGTTTTCTCACAAAAGCAATCACAGTTTTTAGCTGTCACATGCTCTCAATCGACCAATCGGTGTTATTCTTGCACTGTTTACAATGTTAAGCGATTTTACTGTGCTGTGCTGGAACAGGGTGTGTACATAGCAGCGCCCGTTTCGCCGATGTTCTGCTGTTATAAATTCTTAGTGTGCTCGGCGATTGGGTGAATTGGCAATTACAATAGTTCCGTGCTGTGCTTTATTCATGACACGTCTGCATACTCAATTATTAATGCATTTTTGTAAGGAGTAAGACATAAAATAGAACCTGTTGAATATTTTCGGCTCGTTCCCCTACTCTGTGCTGTGGTGTGTGAATGTGTGTTCAGTTGTTATGGAAATTATGGCTGTGCTTGGCCTACTCAGGAATGCCCTCCAAGGCCGAGGGTGTTTTAATTGTTGGCACTCAAGACGAAAAGCCAGACCGGTGTCAGAGCAAAGTGGGGAAGATCTGGATTCTAGATCTAGATCTAGAATGTAGATCCTATGAGCGAGGAATATTTGTTGTAGTCGTGGATTGGTGTTTTGCTACAAACTAGGCTGGAATACCACAAATCCACCATGCCATCTCGACGATCATGATGCCATCACTCCTTGTAGAACCAGATAACTGCACGGAGGCGGGGTTGATGTTGCTTGTTTTTCTTT